GTGGGGGGGCATGTGTGCGCGTGTGTGTGTGTGTGTGTGTGTGTGTGTGTGTGTGTGTGTGTGTGTGTGTGTGTGTGTGTGTGTGTATGTCTGTGTGTGTGCGTGAGTGCGTGAGTGAGAATGCATCGGTGTTAGTTGATAGAAAGAGAGCGCACGGATGCTAGCGGCATGGAAGGGTTAACTAACAGCTCGGGAGAAGAGAAATGTTGCTAAATCCGCCCCCTAATCCTCTCCACATTTCCAGGCCCCCCTCCTCCACCAAGAAAAAGAAAAAGAAAAAAAACAAAAAACAACTGAATGCATAAAGAATAAAATAGTGGGAGCGACGAGTGGGTGGTGTTAACACTTTCCCATCCTATGTCATTGTTTGGATCACTGTGGAGAATTGGAAGGGTGGAGCCATCATACGTGCCAGTAAAATGAGGAGGAAGGTGATGCAAGACTGTGTCATCGGTGGAAGTTCGTCAAGTTAGGTGGCTGGGTTTATTTGTTTGAGACCCAAACAGCAGCACTGCACTCAGCAGAATAACCCCCCCACATCCCCATATTTCCCTAATCCATGTGTGGCTTAGTGCTGGGGCATAGCACCATACCGCAACCATAATTACCTAGTCAAAATAAACAGATCAAGAGCCAACCATGGCAATGAACAAAAAGCATCCCTGGCATTTTTGAGTCTGTGCTCCCAAATTGATGCATGATTGTTTTTAAAGGCGGACAGGCAACAACATCCACATCACATTTGTCTCTGTTTCTTTTGGCGGAGCGACAAGAGAAATCCATTTCAGTTGTCATCAACATGGCATCTTTAACTAGAAGCTCTTAAAGCTGGTGAGACTTTGATGTGTTTGTGTGGTGTGAGCACGTGTTATGCTAATTTGTGTTCTTGCTTTCGTTTTTTATTACAAGCAAACAAAAAATGTAAAGAAGGCAATGACACAAGGTCTTTGATGCATGGCATCGGTTAAATGGAAGACAAACTCCAACTCAGACATGGGGAGACAGACATGAGAAATACCAAGAGAGCCAGATGGTTGGACACGCATAGATGTGGATGGCATCATGACAACCGCCAACGTCTGTGCACCATCTATTTGGCAGCGTATTAGAGAGATATTCCACATCGAACACTGTCAGCAACTGCAGCATGCAATATTCGGCCTTCTCCTCCTCCACCGCCCCCACCACGATTGCTTCCACCGTCACTCATTCATGGCCCCTCCCTCTCAGAGCTCGTCATAGATCCCTGTCAGAGCTGTCAACCAACGGCGTGTTTTTATCTGACAAGCCCTGGTCTTCCTTCTGACTTTTTCATTAAGAGACATCCTATTGTACTAAACAAATGGGTGTGAGAGAGAGAGCGAGAGAAAGAGAGAGAGAGAGAGAGAGAGAGAGAGAGAGAGAGAGAGAGAGAGAGAGAGAGAGAGAGAGAAGGCAGTGAATGAGAGAAGCAGGCATTGCAATACATCGAAACAATGGCTATGAGGAAGTGAGAGATTAGGGATTTTTAATTGGGCTGGATTTTCAATCGGAGCATTGAATAGCTTAAAACAGTGTATTTAACAAGTTCATTAAACCGTTTTCCTCCCATCGATTCAACAGTGCAGGAGAGGGAAGTCTGCATTTGCTTTCTCGCTTCCTGCTTTTGACAGATAAATGAACACGCTGATTGTGTTTAGTTTGGCGGTACCGGGGTGCTGCTTGACAGGCATTTGTTGGGAGGCATTTCTACATTCATTCAAAATCCTTCTCTGGATTTAGCATAAATTCTCATTACTTTCCCAATATCTAAATTGTATTATTTCAAGCCTGACATTAAACCAATGCATGGCTTCAATTTTCCTTTCCCACCTACTCATCCTCTAAATGAACTCGCATATGAATTCTGGCACAGTTATAATTGGAACAGTTTCCTTAACTCATTCCATGCCAAGGTCAGGCCACACTTGACGAAACCCTGTTAGGTCATGTCTACAGTACATTTAACTTTGCCGCAGTTGAAATAATGTCGGATAAATTAGATGCTGTGTGACAAGCTTAATAACTCCCTGTGTACATCCAGTTTAATTACCGGTATGCTTTGTCAAACATTTTTTTTTTAGATGAGAGTTGAAAAAAAGACATGAGCTACTGGAACATTTGCCATCTGATTTCAACATTTGTTGGGTTTGTTCGCCTCCTTAGGCCTTTTCCTATAAAATGGCATTTCGTTCCCCTTTGAAACAAGAAAATGAGTAAAGCAATATGGAAAGCATCGGCAGGATCTCACCTCATTCAACTGCTCCTTGGTGTTGCTCCTGTGAGGTATGCTGAAGTCTGGCATCGTCTCATCCTTACAAAATTTGACTGGAGAGAACATTAATGGTTTGATCTGGAGGACACAAGAGCAAACCACAATTACATTCAAATGTCTTTCCTCCCCACGGCAAAGAACTCCGTAAAGAGTAGGCAGCAATGCACGGCAATGTGCGATAGCAATAATGGCTTCAAATAACTATTGATGGGCTGTCATTAAAACAACACAATTTGTTAGAATGGTGTATTTCACGTAAGTGCTATTTTTTTTCCTTACGGGTAAATGCCTTTATAAGTAGAGTTCGCATGTCCTCCTTGCGCTTGTGTATGTTTTCTCCGCATACTGTATTTATTTTAATATCCTATTGGAGGAAATATGACCTGTGGTTGAGACCAAGCTTTTTCACACTGGGCAGCACAAATATCTCAGTTTTAAGATTTTATCACACCCTGTACAGAATCAAGATGCAATGTCTCAGATAGAGCAAACCAACTCCACAACATAACCAAGCCTTTATATTCTAGACATTTTCCCTGAAACTGTGTGGCTCGTTACGATACGTTTGGTAGATTTTGGTAAAAAATTTGAAGTTAGTTCAGTGACCATGGTGGGATTGATTTCTTTAAGAGAAGCCAAACAACAATGTTGCAAGTACTGTGAGTCACATCCTACCTTTGCTGACACCACAGCAAAAACCTTTGGTATAAAATCTTCCTTTATAGCTTGTAAGGAGAAATGGAAATGGAAGTGTTTAGCAACCCAGATGATGGTAATCCAAATACTATCTTGGATGGCTTGTTTTATTACAGATTATTCAGACCCGCAGCTGGCGGGCATCCAAATTTCCAGCCAGATGGAAGGTTGGCAAGCTATGCACAGAAGTGTCTGGGCCACTCCAGCACAGGCCAATCACAGTGCCCGCGCTACCTCCCCACCTTGGAGTTAAAGTGGCATTGGCTGCGGGGTGTATTCCATTCAACCAGCTATTTACAAGTAGCACCTCCCCTGGTGACATGCTTGGTCTCCTGATCTCCACTGTAATTTAAGCAGATCACTGCTACAATTAACCTTTCCCAGTAAATATCAATTATGGCCCCCGGCTGGGCAAGAATTAAAAGGGTCATCAGCTAATCTGACAGGTCCTGAACACTACCACCTGACAGGTGGGGGAAGGAGGCTCAGAGAGAGTGTTTGTCTACCCTTGTGCCCACCAGCTCACATGCCAAGTAGACGTGATTCCCTTTTAATTACACTGCTGCTGCTGGGCAAGCCTGACGATTGGCCATCGGGTGTGAACAGCCCTCTGCGATCAGGAATGACATGATGAGTTTAAAGTAAGAATGGCAGAGAAAAGGAAAAAGTCAAGGCAAAATCAATCTATTTCATACTGGCTATCGAAGCCAGAATTTCCCCATCTCACTGTCGCTGTGTGTCAGGAACTGATGCAGGATGTGTGGTTTTCCAGCTTCATAGCGTCAGAGGTGTAAGAGAGGCACAACTCTCAATGAAGCAGTGTGAAGTTTAACACCCGTGACACACTGTCCATGGCATCCTTATGTTGAAAGCAATTGTTGCTGTCGCTCAAATGTCGCCGCACCCGCATATTGTCATGAAGTCAAGCTGTTCGAAGGTGTGATCATGCAATGTGAACTGCAGTTTCCTGCTTCAGCAAGTTCTGTCTCAAGGGAACAGGCAAATTTAGCAAGACGCTTGTGTTACACTTCCCATTTTACCGGGAATGCAGTGTGAAAGTGGCAAAAGAGAAACGTGGCATTTAGGTCGAATCAAATTGGAATTTTGAGTCTCATCCTTGCTCTCTCTCAGCCTCAACACTCCTCGAAACTAAAAACGTATTTGGTAGTTTTGAGTTCCCTTTGTCAGACAACCAGCAAAGACAAGGCAGAGATAGATGGCTCTATTTTCATATGTGGCACATACGAATTGCTTGCGTATCTTGATTTTTCCGTGGACCTAAGACTCCCTGCAGCTGCACGGGAATATGTCAGATCAAGATTGACATGACGGCATAGCGAAGATGTGTTTCTTGATATGTACACGTGCATCTGACAATTTGGTGGCAGAAAATCTTGCATATTAGATGCCTCTTGGGGCAGTATCGAAGTCACTAGGCAGTAGTCGCCAGCTCATTCTGCATTTCGGGACCTATTCTCCAGTGTGAAGAAAGGTCAGAAAAGCTATGCTGGTTGCTGCCGTGCACTTTTTTTGGCTGCTCAGATTCTCCTGTCGACTTAAGTGCGTTCGTTGGTCTGCCCTGTTCTTCCATGCAGAAAATGCGGGTAGTGTAGATGCCTGTTCCCTGTTTTAAGAGGTGTTTAATAGGCCCTGAAATGTCCCAAATGGATTACTGTGATAGGTAAGCTTCTTGTAAAATAGTCTTGTCTTGCATTGGCATTTTGCCAGTTTATTGGTAACAACTATTTTTGAAGCTGGTGCATTTTAAGTAGAAGTCAGCATCTGTGATGTTCTGGAGTGTTAGTGCCCATGGCATGGAAAAAGGCACCTGTCATGCTGAGAGGTACGCATCGTTTTTTTAGGGACATCCCTGCATATTTTAGCAAGACAATGCCAAAACACATTCCGTGTGTCACAACAGTGTAGCTTCGTAGTAAGAGAGTGAAAGTACTCTATCTATCTATCTACATCTGTCTCCCGCTGAAAATGTGTGGCGCATTATGACGTGCAAAATATGACAACTGAAATGCCGGGTAGCTGAACAACTGAAGTTGTACATCAAGCAAGAATGGGAAAGAATTCCAACAACAAAGCTTCAACAATTATTGTCCTCAGTTCCCAAACCCTAATTAAGTCAAAGGAAAGTTGACATTATACCATTGTCGCAGCTTTTTTGGAACATGATGCGCACATCAAATTCAGAATGCGTCAATATTGCCCAATATCAGAGCTTCATTGAAATTGTATCATCATTAAAATGTAGAAGCAAAACATCCTCATTTTGTGGAGTCACACTTTGTGCATTGGTTCTGAATCGAACCCTATTTGCCCAACAGTGTTATGCGTTTTATTGCTGAGTAACATTTTGAGGCTGTGTTGACGCCAAGATAATTAGTTTATTTATTTGGACTTTAAACTATGGACAGAAAAAAAAAAACAAGCTAAGTGAGAACCTGTGTTTTACATGAATAATGTACAAGAAATTAGTTCCATTAGTCTCGCTATTGAACATGACTCCAGTCTTTCTCTGGAGGCCGCTGCTCTGTGCTCTTTAATTATCTTCAAAGGCCCTCCAGCATCTTAATCCCCTCCACCACCCCCCTGGTTGAGTGGTGCTGACTTTGTCTGCTCATTTATACTTTAACCCTGGGTGAAGTCACAATCCCCCCCTGATTAGAAAGGTCTTGTCAAGGCAGTGACAGAGACACTGGAGGCCCACGTCAGTTCACGTTAGGCTTGGCAAACGTTCCGTTCCTTTTCACTGTGTCTTGGCACTGCAAATGACTCTGAAGCCTTTCAAGTAGGCTGGAGGCTGCTGGGGGTTGCTTTGTTATCCCACCTCTTTCCTCATGCCACCTCATTCACCTTGCAGGAGGTTTGAGGGGACACTGGAAGACCCCACAGTCTTCCCGAATCTGCCTCTCCTGGGATTGAAGAAGCTGTTACGACAACCTTGCTTTTCCTACCGCTTTCCTCGCCTCTTGCTCTCGAGCGTCTCTCCCTCGTCAGCCATCACCTGTCAGCAGTTGTAAGGGAGATTGTGCTTCACCCTTGTGTCCGTGTCAGTCTTTATTACCCTGAAATCCTGGACTCCCCCTCCCCACCCGCATGAGAAACTCTTGCATGCGCTCGTCAGGTGTTTGGGCTTCGAATGCAGAGGCGTTATAGATTCAGGGGCACGTAAGAATAGGGGGATGGGCTGAGAACAGATATGGATACTTCCTCTAATTTGTTCTGAAAAGTGTCCTGTGCAAAGGACCCTCACCCCCATTAACCCAGTGACAGCCTGCTACCGCTACTCAGGGAGGCGTCCGATTTGTGTGTGCGAAGGGTCCCGGCGGTGTGGCTGGCTGAGGCACCGCAATGCTGGGCTCAATCTATTGGCTCATTATCCCCCCCGCCTAGGCCGGGGTGCAGACAAGTGCACTTTAGGGCCACAGGCCAAATTGATTCATCTGCCTTCATTTTCTTCAGGCTCAGAAGTGGCAGCTGCTCAGAGGCAGGGGGAAGGAGTTATGGCGGGAGACAGACGGGAGTGTGGGAAGGAGAGAGTCAGAAACAGAGTGAAATGAAGGAGGAGGGGCATCAAGAGAAGGCGGCATCGCTGGCTTTGTTCCTCATCCATGTCTCATTTCACTCCCCGCCTCGACCCCCCTCCTCTTTCTACTTTACAGCACCACTAACACCTCCATCGCTTGAAATCGCTGTCAAGGCGGGCACTTGCTCCCACCACAAGTCCCAAGTTGGAAATTAGCCCAAGGACAAGCTAGTGGATTTACTACAGGGAGAGCAAATGGATTTTTGCTTTTATTTTGACGAGTCCCAGTGCATCCATTATGCCTTTTAACCATGCATTATTCATAGAGCGCGCCTGATAATAAATGTCCACATAAAAAATGGTACACATATTATACAATGCCTAAAATGCTCCTATTACTCTCTTCCCTAGTCTGCCCAGAGCTACAATGCATTTGAAAGATGAATCACAAATATGAGACATGAGAAACCGTAGGAAGTTGACGTTGCTATCAAGCAACAACACCTGAACGCGAAGACATTAAAGTGAGTACAATTGAGGTTCACAACTGAGATGGTAGTGGATTAGGCCAGTCAAATAATGCACATTAAAAGACTAACCGGGGCGGCGGGTGACCATTACTGTAACAAATCAGTCAACCTGTAAAATGAAACCACCTCCCCGAGTGTGAGTCCCAGCCAGCAATGACCCCATGAGAGTCTGAATTCCTGTGGGATGCCATTTAGAACAGACGAACTACAGCAAAGGAGCATTCCCAGTGGACCCCGGGTCTCTCTATCAACCACACCATATGTCTCCTGTAACGGAGCAAGACAAGTAAGGGGAGCAAGACAAGTAAGTGCTG